TGTCTGGTAGAATCAAATTTGCTTCTAATTCCATCTTTGCTCCTTCTATCCCACATGAGTTATATATTACATTAGTATATAGGGCACCACTAGTGGGAGTGGATACTGTAAGCATGCAATCTAACACTATCGAGTCTACCCTCAACTTAGGCACAAACATGCATGAAGTGAATGAGTCCGTGGCTCTCAAATCAATCAAAACTCTAGTAGGCAAACTCGAAACATAGAGTGTACCTTGTATCATTTATGGAGTGGCTTTTGTATCTTGAGCAGTTAGGGCAAATACCCCCCTGCACCAACAGTCTACTAGGCTCCCTAAGTAGGGGATAATCTCACACGAAGTGCTGGGTATTGCCACATCGGTAACATCCTTAACTAACAGTTATACACGAGTGATCTCCATGACTCCTGGCACATCATGGACAATCTGTACTCCTTGAGGTTATCTAGTGACCTGGAGTTAAGTTTTACATTGTTCTCTATCTTTTATCTGTTTGACTAGGTTGTGGTGGTATTCGTTTGTGGCCAAAAAATCCTTTACTATACTCCAGTTGTTCCCTGAGCAGGGTCTCTACTAGTTGTGCCTTCTCCAACACTGTTTGATATGTGGGTAAGGTGAACACCGGTACCTGATGATACAGTTATGGTCTCAACCCCTTTTTAAACCTCATAGCCTTTTTTCACTCATTCATCATAATCTCTATAACAAATTATCCCAAGCTTATACATTTATCTGCATATTCTGCCACTAAAAATTTTCCTTATCGGAGCTCTGCAAATTCAGTTTTTTTTTTTTCATTTAAAAAAATATAAAAAATACTCTGCATTGAAGGTCTCCATGAACATTTCCCAAGTTATTGGGGGGACTAAGGCTCCCCTATTTAAACTCCACCATCGCTCCACCGGTCCTTTCAACATAAAGATAGTTAGTTGTACTTTCTGTTCTGAGGTAACTTCTATTATATCAAATAATTTCTCAGTTTTTTTTATCTAGTATTCAGCAACCAATGGATCGGAACCCCCATTGAATGGCGAAAGATTGAACCTCTGATACTTCTCAATGTTACTTGTGTTTACTCCACCCTGACTAGCATTATATTGTGGGATGTAAGAGACCTCTCTTAGATCATCACTATCAGGCATTCGACCACTCTACATAGGCAGTTAAAATCATTTTGGTGACTAGCTGTTTGCCCCACCTGTGGTGCCGGTGGGGCGAAAGTGGGCCTCTGGTGAGTAGTGAGTGGTGCAGATGGGCAAGGAGTCGGTCCTTAAAAAGTAGAGAGGGGCACCTGATGAAAGGAAGACGCCCCCTGCGGTGCAGTTGGTGGATCCTGGGGTGTTGGGGTGGATCCCCTCCTAGGACGACCTTTGCCTCTCTTCATCCCCTTTCCTTGTCTACCTACATCACAATAGCCTTCGTCAGTCACTCGACCTAAAATGTGCCTACAATCTACCACATAATTTAACCCTAGAAACTTGTTCTAATACCAACTGTATACCCCTAGGTGTTCTATAGTCTTAAATTTCACCTGTGCTCCATTCATTTATATTCATGATCTCATTCAAATCTAAACAAGCAACATGCATTCAATTCAATAGTCAACTACATCAATCCTATTAGTTTTACTTTACAACTAATAGTTTTGAGTAATAAATGATCTAAAAAGGAAAAAAATGTGTGTTTAGTATAGAGAAGTAAACTCATATGAATGTTTAGTGTGAATTTTATATGTCAGTGTTCAGTTAACTTGATTCCTCTACGTATTGTCCCACCGCCTGGGGTTTTAGCTCTAACTCTTGCACTATTATATGTGTAAATGACATACAACGAGCATATTCTAGCTCAGTAAAACAAATTCAAAATTTCAAATAAAGCATGAAAATACATTTAAATGCCAAATTCGGTACTACCCCTACCCCTATAACACAGTACCACTCTCACCTTTCCCTATGACCTTTAGTAACACCTATACGAAAAGACCACCATCCCATTGCCTCCACCCATCTAGGTGTTATGATGTACCTGGGGGTTAGGTAAATGGTCATGATTAGAGGGGTAGAATGAAGGGCTGAGATTAGATGATAAGGGAAATATAAATAGGGGTGGGTTGAGACCAAAAAAAAAAAGAAAAAAAGAAAGAAAATGAAATAGGGGAAAAGGAGGAGAGATAGAAGAGAGATTGAGGAAATTTGAAAGGGGATTTGAGAGAGGGAGTCGAAGAGAAGTACGAGTGAAGGCGTTCTACAAATCTAGGTGACGATGGAAGCCATAAGTAAATAAATTCTAAATTTTAGGTTTTTATAAGGTAACATAGTGTGAATTTCCAT